ATGGTTTCTTGCCCCAACTGTTGAAAATACCTATTCCCTGCTAGTAAGTACGTTGTTTCAGAATGCTCTTACATTTTTCATTTCTTGTGCAACTACAGTGCTAACAAGATGAATAGAAGAAGCTGTTTCATTTCGAGAGGAGAATATAATCTTTGACTTTAACTTTCTGACCTCTGAGGAAGAGGAGTGTCCCGTGAAACAGCCTTGCTGTTTCAGACATTATTTACAAATGCTTCAAATATATGACTCTCCTAAAGGAGAATTTTTTTTTAAGAGCCAAGAGCCTGCATGTTACATTCAAGGAACATAGGAATTATATGCCTCTTCAATCAATTTCAATTCTTCCTCCAGCTGGAAAACAGTGGTCGTCCCCTTTTAAAAAGCACATTGTGCTGAAAAGCCAAAGGTTGTCTTAGTAAACTGTGTGCAGAAATTCCTGCTAATGCTCCCAGTGTAGGTAGATCCCAGATTGCTGGGGTGCCAGGGAACTAGAGGTGACATGGTGCTGCTCTAGAGATAAGCAATTTTCTTATGTGGATATATCATGTGTATTTCGGGATTGAGTTCAGGCTCCAGCATCTGATATCTCAGATTCTCCTAGAAACATCGCTGGCCTTCTGTTTTCATTAACAAGGCTGAGGAGCCACAAGGCCAACACAGTGGGACCACAGTTCCTGGAGGCCTACGTGAGCTAGTGCAGTAAAGATAAAAGCAGCAGCAGACAGCTCAGGGCATCTTATGCCTGTTCCTCAGGAAAGTCATGTCTGAAATAACATTATCCAGCTTTCCAATGTTAAGTAAGTGAGTTTCTCCTAGGATGGCTCTGGAAGATGGTCCTGGAGATTCAGCTGTAAGGAAAAGCTGGGAGGGGAATTGTGTTGTGCAGAAGTACGTGTTTCTACCACATCTATTCCTGGATCTGTATGTCTGCTGTTGGTAATCTCTGAGAAACCTGCATAGGATCTCATCAGTTTCAGTATGAAACTGGCAGGTTGAGTCAAGAAAACAAATAAATTCTTTAATCCCCATAACTCTTGGAAAATGTAATTGTTGCCTGGACAATGTTGACTGTGACAGAGAGCAGCCACAACTTCAGACAGACCTTCTGGCACTTGAACTGCTGGCTGTTTGGAGAGGGGAAACAGTCATAAACAGTCTGTGCAGACTTGGGGCTGTTCTGTGACATGTGTTTGCTTTTGAGAGTATGGATCAAGCTTTCAATTTCCTGACAAACAGAAAAATCTGAACTCTAATGGGTCCACTTAATAACTTTGTCTCTGCATCTGCAATGGATTTGCTTCCTTTATGGTCTGAATCAGCACATGGTTTATTTTACTGTGATGGTATTCCTTATCCAGGTAAAATAATAGGAGCTTTTCTGCCTCCTGTGAGGAATGTTAATTATTTTCAGTATGGTAAAAATGTGCAGAATCCATGACAAAACTTGGCATGGTGAGAAAGGAAACAAAGTACTTGTAAAAAAACCATAACTAAATACCAAGTGCAAAACTGTGAGGCTGGAAAATATTAGTATATTTATTTTAAATATGGGATTACTGTGCAGGTAAACTGGGAATTAATGATTAGAAGATGAGCTGTAAAAGAGAACTGCTGGGCTCTAAGAGTAAGGATACAGATGCTACCAAGCAAAGTCCATAACCATGTATTTAGCTTTAACTGTATTGTTAAGTTAAGCAAAGTGTTTACTTGTGTGTTTCAGTCAGCCTGATGGTGTCATAAATTCCAGTAAGTATTAGCAGGACTAAAAAACCACAGGAGTCTTCCAGCTGTAAAACCAGGTCAAATTCTAACAAACCGTTTGCATAGAACGTATACATAGGGAAGAGCAGGTTTTGTTCATTTTAGGGAAGACCACCTCATGAGAAAGGTAGTGTGGAAGAGGAAAAGCCAAGAGAAACCATGCAGAATACCTGCTTTTGTATTTGCAAGAGACCCCTCTACAGTGACAGCTGGAAGCAGAAGGGATTAAATACCCAAGGTGAGAGCTAATTTAAAACAAAGAGGTTTGTCACACCTCCGTATTGTCAGCTTTCTCAAAAATGCCTTTCTGTCCATATTTGATTTCTTAATGAAGGATTTATTGCACATTAAAATTGAAGGATGCTGAGAAATTCTGCACTGTGGATTGTCTTTGAATATGGATTTTTGTATATGTCACAAATGATCCACGAGGCACCACGTCATTGCATATTTTCCTTCATTACTTTTCCACTTTTTACTTTTACATATAATCATACACTAATATGCCTTTGCATGAAATCAGGCTGATTCAATCAAGAAACAGGAGTCAGCAGCATGTTAACAGCCGTTTCTCCACAGACAGTTTCTTGACAGCTCATTTCTGGAACATGGTAAATACCATTATAGGTTGGAGCAGTAACTGTAATAAATAATGATACTGTATATGCACACACATTTTTGTTGTGCCTTATATTTTGAGGTCCTACCCATGCTAGCCCAGATCTGCTTTGAAGACACAGAAGTGTGATGTGTGAACAAGGTTTTGTGAGTTTGGAAATACGAGTGGAAGCAAAGTTGTGAATGAGGTCTCCTGGGCTTAGGGTATGGGAAGTTTAGTTGCTGCATGCTGAAGTTGAACATTTCAGACAAGTCATATCTGTAGCAGCAAAAGGGGGTGAAAAGCAGGGGGGCTTGAGCTACAGTATGGCAGTTTGTGTTGCTTATACATTAGCATAACAACTAGCATTCACCCAGATGCTATTTAGACAGGGTAAAGGGAATAAAACAGAAAAGAAAACATTCCCAGCAGACAATAGGCAGGAGACCGCTCTTTTGGAGAGGGGCGTTTCACTGCATGGTGTAGAATCCTCTTTGGGATCACAAGATAACCGTAGTGGAAAGGGACCTCAACGGATATTTATTCAGCTCCAAGGATGATGCCTGCACAGCCTCACTGGGCAACCTGCTCTACTGTCTCACTCTCCTCATAGAGCAAAAGGCTTTCTTTATATCCCCCTGAACATCTGTTTGTCCCAGTTTGGTGTCATATGCAAACTTGGTGAGAGTGTACTCTGTTGCCTCCTCAAGGTCACTGATAAAGATGTTAAGTAGGAAAGGTCCCACGGCAGACCTTTAGTCACATTGCTCTGCTTGTAATGGGCACCCAGACACAGCATCACCCCTCAACTGCTACCCTCTCACCTTGTCACCAGTCTTTTGCCCATCATTCTGTCTGTCCATCCAGACCATAACATCCTAATTTGGATAACTATATGCAGAAGGAGCTTGTATCTACCTTGCTAACTCAAAAGGCAGAATGAGAACTTGAAAGAAATTGGAAGAAATATATCTTAAGGAGGCACTTCAAGAGAATAAGGCCAAACAAGGCTCTCAGATAGAAGAAAACTGTATAAGAGAGACTGTCCAGGCTGAAAGTGTATATGGAAGTGTCAAGATAGGCCAGTAGCTTGAATGAAACAAACTGGGCTCCAGATTGAATGACTGAGGCTGGTAATACAGGGTACAAAAAGGTTTTATAATGAACCCATAATTACAAACTACGCACCAGAAGCTTTTCACAAGCCAAGTGACAGGTCTTCTCAGAGGTTTTACAGCTCTCCCCTCCCAGAACATGAGAACATGTGATTTTTACCCTGCTTAAAGAGAGAAACTCTTCACCTGCCTTTTCTGCATGGCAAGACAGTAGCAGCTGACCTGTATAAGGCATTATTTTAAGCACAAAAATGGATTGTTGTCAATGTTGGACATAGAAGGACAGTATAAGAGTCCGTATGCAGCTGGGATGGAAATGCTGCATGAGTAACCCCAAACATTTACATTAGGATTTGCATTACTCTGAATGCCAATTTGCAAGGCTGAGACTAGTTGTCCTAGTTGTTTCTAGTTGTTAGGAGGATGTCTGAGGAAAGCAGAATTGTCAACAACAGAAGAGGTCAGAGAAGATTTCTATTGTCTCTCTGAAAATACATGCAGTATTAGATGAGTAAGAGATTGGAAGAGCTGCTTAAAAGTTAGGGTGAGTTTCCCTCAAAGGGAAGAGTCTGGGCAGGTAGGTAAATAAACCCACAGGGTAGAAAATCTCTGCAAGCAGTGTGGGCTGGAAAGGGGGCAGGAGAATGTTCAAAGACTTTGTTACAGAGTTCCTGTGATTTAAAATCTTTAACCATAATAATGAAAGAATATTTCTTTTCCTTCTGGATGCCAGGAGACTGAAGGATGGAAAGCAAGGCACTGCTGTTGTGTTTGGTCAGTAGCCAGCCAGACAAGTAAGACCAACAGGCATGTAAACAGTTTGTATGCATCTCAATGGGAAGTTTACTTCAAAGCTGAGTTCTGAAGCAAAGATTCAAGCACAGATTCACATCCACCACCCCCATTTTCTTCCTTTTTTTTTTTTTTTTTAAGTGCAGTTGGGTTATTCTTTGTATTAGTGAGAATAGCTGGATTAATAGCCCAGAAGAGTAAAATAATGAGTTCTGTTACAAAGAACAGACAGGAACAATTATCAGCTTTCTCTATGCAGTCTGCTACTGTGATTCTGGCTCAGTTTGCAGAAGCCACACCTGGGGACACAGGGAAGCTCAGGATGTGTAGCTCATTTTTCCATAGCCTCTGTGAGGTTGCCACCAGCAGTTGTGATACTGTGTTGAGGTGAGGCCACCTTTTTTTCTTTTTTTTCAGGTTTGGTCTATATTCAGTAGCTCATTTTCAATTTGGTCTTCAAACAGCCTTGAGAGAGGGAGCTACTGCTGGTACCCAGATGTGTTCATCTAGGGCTAGTTACTGCCTGGTGCTGTTCAGTGTAACTCTGCCCTTGTTCTCTTCCCTTAGCCATGGATCCTCCAGAATCCTGTTACTAGACTGGAAATGACTTGCTTAGCCTCATAAAACACAGTTAAAATTTTCTTGCTTTTGATGGGCCAAGTGGCCAAAGAAAGACGCTTATAGGTATTGCTGGGGAAAAGAGGCTAACAGGTTTGGTTTCTGCTTGAACTCACCAGCATGAATATGGGCATCTCCGGCTATAGCGGCAGCAGTAAAATTGCCATTCACGGTCAAGCACAGACGGAAAATACTGACTCTGGAAACCAGCCACGAGCCCATTGTTTGAGCAAGTTTGATACCTAATAAACAAGAGAAAGGGAAGAACATGTAAGAAAAACATGGTATTAGATTCCGTGCTAGTTCCAAGCAGTTCTGAAAACATCATTAAAGATTTTGATTCAGGGTGAAAGTTAAAGCTTTGGCTTTGTATTGGGAAGCACTGTATGTGCTTGCTGTGTACTGAGTAATCACTTTGTATAAGAAAGCAGCAGTAGTTAACTAATAATGTCTTAACATTAATGCTGCATTTAAAACTTTTTAAACTATTCTGTGATTCTATGATCCTATGAAAGTATTTAATAATTTCAGCATGCTAATCGGGCAAGAAGATCGTTCTGGTGTTGGCATTCTCAACTGTTTACTGACTTCAGAATAGTCCATTAATATTTTTATCTTTGACTTGGTATTTGAGCATTTGGGGTAAGTTTTTTCAATCGCTTCTCTCCCAGAAAGAAGCCTTACGAACTCTTTTATGCAAGAAGTTCAGCGATTTATTTTATTTCTTTCCCAATTACCTGTCTCCAGGAGAAGACACTCTTAAAATATTACAGGCTTGTGATGAGATCATGACTTGATAACAATCACGTGAGGAAAACGTTATGAAATTATAAGGCTCACATTAATTTTATGGTTGGATTTTCAAAAGAAAAATCTGCTGTTTCGTGCTTCCTGTGTACACGGCAATTTCATCACATGCATAAATCACTGCCTTCAAGTAGAATAGACATGGTCTCTAAGCATGCAGATATATGCTTCTCTTTCTGCATACCCTCCTAGCATCTGAACCTTGATACCCAAAGTAATTCAAGTGATAATCAGTTTGAATAGCTTGCCTCTTGGAGGCTAAAGACAAGGAATTTCCATTTTCTTTCATTTCCTTTCTTTTCCCTTCGTCAAGGAAAACTGGCAGCCTTGAGCTGTAGCAAACTTTCCTTGCAATACCATAATATCAAATACATTGATATATTCAAAAGACACTTTCAGAAGTAACTTTATGATTAACAAATGCGACAAATGTCTCCTGGTTTCATTCAATGACATCATAGTTTTATTTTAATGACCCTGGAGTTTCCAGAAGGGAAAACACCTGACAGAGCAGAGTTTAGTGTTTAGAAAGTCATTCACTTGTGCATGCAAGTGTTCTTGAAAAGCATGAGGCTCAAGAGTCTGCATGCAAAAGCTAAAAAACTGATCAGTTTTGACGAGTGCAGGGATTAATTGCACTGCCTGACTTTCAGCTTCTACCTTTGAACAAGGGGGCACTTCTGTATGTCCCTTCTTCCACTGTGTTCTGTTTTTCAGATAGGAGTATTTACATTTGTTTGTATCCCTGCATCTCCCACATAGCTGAGGCCACACATACTTGCTGTGCTTTGTGAGACTCTTTCAAAGACCTTTAGAGTTAAGCAATTATGGGGACTCTGAGTTGCTATGGTATCACACCAAGTAAGGCAGTTTGGCTCTCACTCAGAGGATTTCAGCAGGACTTTGATAGGAAGCTGCTCTGAGTTTTGGCACATAGGCCATGGGAACACATGGCTAAGATTCTATGTAAACATATTGGATAGCTGCAGGTGATGGGTGTTGTCCTAAATGAAGAAAGGTTGATTCACAGAAATATAGGGAATGGTTGTACCTATTGCAAGATGAGCATTAATCTGCGTAAAGTAGAACCAAACTTGTATCTCTTCATCTTCTTCTGCCTCTCCCCCAGTTACATGTGTTTTCACTGCGCCAGTCCTTGTGCCCCTTTGAGATTTTCTAGGTCTTTTGCCTAGGTGCAATAACAGGAGTATTTCATTCGCCCTTTTCCTTTGCACTTCCTCTCTGAGGCTCAATATTACCTTGCAATGTCCCACCCCATCTATTAGTGTCTGATATTTCTTGTCTTCGTAGGAGGTTCTTCCTTATCTGTTTCTCCCCACCTGCTCACATTAAGTCTGAGAAGTCCTGCCCTCTTTGCCCTTTTTTCTTGACAGCTTTTATTTTCTTGACACCTCTACTAATACAGCCCAATCTTGATGGGAAGATTTATTTTGAGAGAGATGTCACTGATGGACCCCTCTTTTCTAGTGGATTGAAAAAAATCTAGCTAATATAACTCTCCTACGTCTACATGTGTAACTTTTGGGCAGTAAACTTTAGGAAGGTTTAGTTATTTTTCACCCTGATTCTATCTTCTCGTGAGAAGTTTGATTTAAAAAAAATCAGTATTTGAAGTTCCCATAAAAGTTAATTTCTTGAATGGAGAGGATAGCTGGACATAAGTCATGTCTTATCATTAAATTGCCATTTTATTTTAAAAATATTCGAAGTAAAATTTCAAATATACTTTTAAGCTTATGTTCAATTCTCCCTTGCTATTTTTATCTCATCCGCATCAAGTCCTGAAATCTGTTATTCAAGCTCAATACTGGGTTCAGAGAAAGAAAAACAGTAGTGACACTGAAGTAGTTTTCTTTATAATAAATGATATTTTTGCCCTGCATGTTTCCAATTTCAAGTCAAATCCAGGTATTCCTCCAAAAAATGAAGAGAGGCTCTCAGAAATTTGAGTGCTTGTCAGCTCGTATACCATTTTTCCTTCTCTTTCCTTTTCCCAGTCAGTCTCTTTCCTACAAGCAGAAAGTAATTCTTCAAGGGCTACAAACAACCCTCCTCACACACCTTTTCAGTCAGATGCTCTCTGCACTAATTGGAAAACAACAATATGTGAGGATTTCTTCCTTCTCTGTTGAATTCACTACTGTTGTCACAGCAAATCCTACAAACCAGCATGGTGAATAAAAGCTAGTGATTCAGGACCTTAGATTTATGTCCAAGTAAGAATAATGTCTTTTCTACTAGACCCACACTGTAACACTCTGGTTGTAGAGAATTCAGTATTCAGAGTTAATGTCAGTGTGTTCTCCTCACTCATGAAATCCTGACATGGCTAAGAAGAGAGGAAGATACCTTTTAGAAAGTGAATGCAGAAGAGAATGAGAAACCATCTGGGACTGTGTGAGATTAAACTTGGCAATGGATAGGTTATTTTATTTCCCTAATTGGTTCAAGTTGTGATGCATGAAGAGCTGCCTCTTAGATTTGGTACTGGGAGGAAAGGAGGTGAGCTGGCTGGGAAAGTGGGAAGATTGGTGGAGGTGAGAGTCAGGTGCTATTGAATGTGAAGTTGCCCTTCCCTTCCCTTGTTTATGTCAGTAACATGACTGCAGTATTTCATAGAACATAAGTAAAACTATACAGCCTTATTTTGGGAGGAGTTCTGTGTAGTAACAGGGATATGGTGGCTGAGAGTTTCCTGGCCTCCTGCAGTTGCTGTGAAAAGCCTCTCCTTTTCAAATCTTCTGAACTCGTTAATGAGTGTTGTACAGCTGAGCTCTGTCATGGCAAGCAACCATGGCAAGTGTGCATAGAATCATAGAATCATAGAATAGTTAGGGTTGGAAAGGACCTTAAGATCACCTAGTTCCAACCCCCCTGCCATGGGCAGGGACACCTCGCTCTAAACCATATTACCCAAGGCCTCATCCAACCTGGCCTTGAACACTGCCAGGGATGGAGCATTCACAACCTCCCTGGGCAGCCCATTCCAGTGTCTCACCACCCTCACAGTTGTCATGGTTTACCAGCCAGACAGCTTGTGCACTCACTCCCAGTGAGTGGTGCAGGCCTGGAAGCAGTGGAGGCCCGCGTCCCGTGTTTCCCCCCCCCGGGGCTCCCCCCTTCCCCACTCCTGGAGGGATGGGGAGGAGAATCAAAAGAATGCAACTCCCATGGGTTGAGACAACAACAGTCCAGCAACCAATGTACAACGCAAATCACCACCGCTACCACCACCACCAACAATGATAAGAGAAAATAACAAGGGAAAAGAATACGATACCACCCGCCAAAAAACAAGTCCAACCCAGAAGACCCCGTGTCCTTCTGGGTAGCTCCCAGTTACATTCTGGGCATGGCCTGCTGGGGTATGGAATACCTCCTTGGTCAGTTTGGGTCAGGTGTCCTGTCCCTGCCTCCTCCCGGCTTCCCCCCTCCCTGGCAGAGCATGAGGCCCACAGAGTCCTTGGCCAAACCAAAACATCATTGTTATCAGCTCTGTTCCCAGCCTGAAAGTCAAAACACAGCACTGCACCAGCTACCAAGAAAGACAAAAATGTCTGCTACTGCTAAACCCAGGACAACAATAAAGAACTTCTTTATATCCAATCTAAACTTCCCCTTTGTAAGTTTTAACCCATTACCCCTTGTCCTGTCACTACAGATCCTAATGAAGAGTCCCTCTAAGCATCCCTATAGCCCCCCCTTCAGATACTGGAAGGCTGCTATGAGCTCTCCACACAGCCTTCTCTTCTCCAGGCTGAACAGCCCCAGCTTTCTCAGCCTATCTTCACATGGGAGGTGCTCCAGTCCCCTGATGATGCTCATGGCCCTCCTCTGGACTTGTTCCAACGGTTCCATGTCCTTTTCATGTTAAGGACACCAGAACTGCACACAATACTCCAAGTGAGGTCTCACAAGAGCAGAGTAGAAGGGCAGGATCACCTCCTTCGACCTGCTGGTCACGCTCCTTTTGATGCAGCCCAGGATACGGTTGGCATCCATGTTACCAGTTTAGTTCAGCTTAGAATTGCTTTCCTTGTTAACCAGTGAGCTTGTATCAGAGAGACCAAACTAGAGCTGCTTTGAAACAAACCCACTGAAAATGTATATATATATGTTGAACTAGTCTCAAGCCACCAACCATGGCCTCATTGACTCAACCTTTGCCTGCCAGACTGAAGACAAATATTGCTTTCAACAGTATAATTGTTTTAAGCAGTGGCACCAATAGTGGTGAAATTTCATAATTATGCCTACATCTAATTTTTTGCTCTGTGCTAGACAAAGCCCCAGAGTGTTGAGTGCTATCTGATGTTGGTGCTGCACTGTAAACCTCTCTCTCAGGCCCCTGTCCTTCAGATATGTCAGGAATTAGCCTGAGCAGCATGCTGTCCTGAGGATGACAACCCAAAGG